ACAGGGCATCCTTCACTGCTGTTAATCTCTCAACATTTATTCAACATTTATTCGTTAGCATCGCTTGCGGCTCAGCATTGCCTGTATATTTTCCTCACGATTACAATAGCGAGAACTCACCCCACCACCACTCACCCCACCACCACTCACCCCACCACCACTCACCCCACCACCACTCACCCCACCACCACTCACCCCACCACCACTCACCCCACCACCACTCACCCCACCACCACTCACCCCACCACCACTCACACCAGCAAAGCCTGGCTTAAATACAAGACCATTTCAGGACCCGCTTGCCTTACTAAATATTATTTTATCTTATCGCCGTAAATTTGTTGCTTCTTTTATCCTATACTAATTTCTTTCATCGCAGAACCTACTGCCACGACCTATGGTCAGTACAGAAACAACAGTGTCGCCCCTCGAAAATTTTCTTCTTGGATTGTCATAGAAAATTTCCCTTCCCTGCATTTGCATCGCTTACTGAAATAAAATGAATATTCCGTGCGATGGACAACCGTCGCGAAATAGTTCTAATGGAACGCACAAGCAGGGGTAACCTTTTCTTCACGTCGACCCTCAAGAGAATATTTGTATTTACGTCGCCCCCTCCATGAACACACCATACAAGGCAGTCATGAGATAACTTACGCCATTATAGACGTTTTTGATGTTCAGAAACAAGGAGAAATGCCATAAAGAAATGCAGCAAGCGAGACTTATGGTGTACAATATTCTAAGTTTCGAAATATATTTCACGAGAACAAGGCAGTCTACGCTGTTATAAGATAAAAATCGTAAATAAAACATAACTTAACAAATTTTGAAAGCTTAAAATATTTGGAGCTTGAAAAATTTAGTATGAATTTAATTAGACATAACTTCTGACGACTTAATAATAAAGATAACTGCCATGGAAATATGCGCACTGTTTTTCCTCCGTACAAAATGATAAATATACAAAAGTTACCTATTAATACATCCATACTTTATATTAATGAGCTGGCTGAGCATGATGAGCGGCAGCAAGAGTGGTTCACAAAAGAGTGGTTCACAGAGTGTGAACCACACAGAGTGGTTCACACTCGGTGCACCTCAACCGTAAATCAATTCTGTTCTTCAAGTTCAGGCTTTTCTCCGCTGTGCTGAGATCGCGAGGCTAAAACCTCGTGTATGAGGCTGGTTTAGCCTCGTGCGAGTCTATAGCTGCTTTATCTTCTCTTAATATTGCTTTGTAAAGACCTATTATATTGCACTGTTATATTGCATTATTAAGGCCATTATATTGCACTATTATATTGCATTATTTAGGCCCATTATAGTGCACTATTATATTGCATTATTAATGCCATTATATTGCACTATTATATTACATTATTATGACCATTATATTGCACTATTATATTGCATTATTAAGGCCCATTATATTGCACTATTATATTGCATTATTACGTCCCATTATATTGCACTATTATATTGCATTATTAAGGCCCATTATATTGCACTATTATATTGCATTATTAAGGTCAGCAGCAGCAACAGCAACAGCAGCAACAACAGCAGCAGCAACAGCAGCAGCAGAAGCAACAGCAGCAGCAGCAACAGCAGCAACTACAACAGCAGCAGCAGCAACAACAACAACAGCAGCAGCAACAGCAACAGCAGCAACAACAGCAGCAACAGCAGCAGAAACAACAGTAGCAGCAACAGCAGCAACAGCAGAAACAACAGCAGCAGCAGCAACAACAACTGAGGCAGCAGCAGCAACAACAACAACAGCAGCAACAACAGCAGCAACAACAGCAGAAAGAGCAGAAACAACAGCAGCAACAACAGCAGCAACAACAGAAACAACAGCAGCAGCAACAACAGCAACAACAGAAACAACAGCAGCAGCAACAACAGAAACAACAGCAGCAGCAACAACAGCAACAACAGCAGCAGCAACAGCAGCAACCGGCTGTCCTATACCGGCGCTCACATGTATGGATGACGTCACGCTCACGCACGCTATTTTCCTGTCTCCTTAGCAACGTTTACGCTCAACACGTACAGCAGTTCATTAACAACATAATAACAGCAGTAACAGGTAAATATGTCCGCTAAAAAATAATGATATATGTCCGCTATATAATAAGATAATAACAACATATCTCTGCTGTCTTGCCTTCACATGGCGGCCAAATGCAGCCGCGGAAACCTAATCATCCGAATATTGAGCATAAGTTTCCTAAATTCGCGGGTAAAAATGATTTTTTCCTCGGGCGGCTTACGAAAATTACGTGTAAAAATAGGCCGTTTATTTAATTTTCACTGAAAAAAATTTGGAAAAAATCCTAGGAACGGATGAAATTGGCCATATTCACAGGTGGCTTCTGCGCACTCACCACCACTCACCTAACAACGTTTACGTGGGGACCTCATAGAAGTATACCCTCGGTTTATAAAAGGTCCCAGAAGGTTTACTAACATTTGAAACCAGAACCAACACTAGAAGCCATGGTTATAAACTAAACGAACTGCGCTGCAACTTCTCCACGCGAATACATTTCTTCTCGCTTCGAGTCACCGACATGTGGAACAGCCTCCCTGATTACATCGTTGACGCTCCGAGTTTAAACGCGATCAAGAACAGACTAGATAAAGCTATGGAAAAAATATATGTTCACACTTGAAATATCTAGCACCATATTGAACCCGGTGGAAGTCTAGTAGCTATTTCAAACTATCGTCAGTCCTGAGAAGATCCGGTCAAAGGACCTGTTTTTAGATCTCTTGTATGATATGATATGATATGATATGATGTGATGTGATGTGATGTGATGTGATGTGATGTGATGTGATATGATATATGATATATGATATGATATGATATGATATGATATGATATGATATGATATGATATGATATGATATGATCCAAAACGTTTTCATGGAGATGTGGGGAATTTTGGTGAGCGTTATATTTGCATTTAAATTCTTGATGAAGTGCAATTTAATCACACTAATGATCGATGTACAAACTCATTCGTGTTCCTGTGATGAAGCAAAGGCAAGCGAAAAATAATATGAAAGTCTAGTGAAGCTCAGAATTCTTCTGTTGATATTAGGAGTCTGTTGATTCTAAGGAGATAAACAGACAGCTCGCTACAAGCGCTCTCGAACTGAACTGCACACGCACACAGCTTTGTCGGTCCTGCTCACTGCGATGCGTCGCAAACACCTACGACGTAATCGGTCTTCTTTAAATTGTTGATACAGATATGTCAGATAGAACAACGACTCTTGGATCGCTCCTCCACATAATGTTGGGTCTATATTTCTTGAATATTATCCCGTTGAATCATAAAATTCAGCGAGCCTCTGTAAACTTTGTCTCATGATGACTACCGCACTTCGCTGTGCAGGATTGGTTGAAAATTTGATCGTATTCTTCACATAGTTTAGCAAAGAGCAAAAACAGCAGTGACAACAAAAGCAAAAACAACAGCAGTAACAGTAACATCAGCAGTAACAACATCAACAAAAACAGCAGAAACAACAGCAGTAACAACAGCAACAACAGCAACAAAGCAACAACAAAAGCAGCAACAACAACAACAACAGCAGCAGCAAAATCAGCTACAATAACAGCAACAACAGCAAAAAAGCAGCAACAACAGCCGTAATAACAACAACAATAGCAGCAACAACAGCAGCAACAGCAGTAACAACAACAGCAACAACAACAACAACAGCACCAGCAACAGCAGAAATAACAGCAGCAATAGCAGCAACGACAACAGCATCAACAGCAACAACAACAGCAACAGCAACAACAGCAGTAACAACAGCAACAGCAACAACAGCAACAACAACAGCAGCAACAGCAACAACAGCAGCAACAACAGCAGCAGCAGCAACAGCAACAGCAGCAGCAACCGCAGCAGCAACAACAGCAGCAACAGCAGCTACAGCAGCAACAGCAGCAGCAGCAACAACAACAGCAACAACAGCAACAACAACAGAAAAAACAACCGCAAAAACAGCAGCAACAACAACAGCAACTACAGCAACACAGCAACAACAACAGCAGCAACAACAGCAGCAACAACATTAACAACAACAGCAACAGCAGCAGCGGCAGCAGCAACAGCAACAGCAGCAGCGGCAGCAGCAACAGCAACAGCAGCAGAAGCAACAGCAGCAACAACAACAGCAGCAACAGCAACAACAGCAGCAACAACAGCAGCAGCAGCAACGGCAACAGCAGCAGCACCCGCAGCAACAACACCAGCAGCAACAGCAGCTACAGCAGCAACAGCAGCAGCAGCAACAACAACAGCAACAACAGCAACAACAACAGAAAAAACAACAGCAACAACAGCAGCAACAACAACAGCAACTACAGCAACACAGCAACAACAACAGCAGCAACAACAGCAGCGGCAGCAGCAACAGCAACAGCAACAGCAGCAGCGGCAGCAGCAACAGCAGCAGCGGCAGCAGCAACAGCGGCAGCAGCAGCAGCAACAACAGCAACAGATGCTCGGACTGACATCAGGAGCTGAAGCCCACGCAGCACAATACAAGTGCAGTGCACAAGAACTTCGCTGTGCTGCAAGCCTCACCAGCACCCCCGCCCAACCCTTCAACTGTGATGGGGTTCAACGATAAACAAACCCTGGTGGGGGTCGTGGGGTGCAGATATATGGGCCCCACACCCCTCCCCATTCATTTCCGAGCCCCCCCCCAGTACTGATACAGTGAGGCCTGGTGAGGCTGCAACCAACTTGCTGGGCGGTCGCCATCGCAGGGCTTGTGCTTATTTAATGCGGATATTGGCTAACTTTTATTGCTTACGTACTTTTAACTTATATATTATTTTATTTCATGCATAAGCCCTGTTTTTATGGCCTTTTATTTTCATTTCCAACTTTTTCTTTTTTACAGACATTTATTAAAAAACTAGAAATAATTTATTCTTTAACGATGATGACACAAAATACAATCATCTCAGAACGTACGACCTCCGTGGACCATACGACCTCCACGGACCTTACGCCCTCCGTGGACTTTGCGACCTCCGCGGACCTTACGACCTCCGTCGGCCTTACGACCTCCGCGGACCTTACGACCTCCGTGGACCTTACGACCTCCGCGGACCTCACGACCTCCGCGGACCTTACGACCTCCACGGACCTTACGACCTCCGCGGACCTCACGACCTCCGTGGACCTTACGACCTCCACGGACCTTACGACCTCCGTGGACCTCACGACCTCCGCGGACCTTACGACCTCCGTGGACCTTACGACCTCCGTGGACCTTACGACCTCCGTAGACCTTACGACCTCCGT